ATCGGATTTGAAAGTATATGAAAATAAATAGGTTTACCGTTTAGGAGGAAAACAAAGAGCAAAAGTAGACCTAATTATGACTCATATTTATATTCTGTCTGTCTATTTATATTGAGAGCAAGACATGAATGGCATTGAGATTCAGATCAACTCAAATACAGTAAATGTATATTGAATTACATTACATATGAATTGTCCATATCTTGCCATATATTGGGCGTCCGTTCATATCATTTGATATTCGCATAAATTGTAATCTCAGCCGAAGATGTGATGTCTGAAGACTTAATTCAATTATATATACTGTTTGGCAGACTATGTCCTTGACCTCAATCTCTACGCCAATCCCAGAGCCATAAGTATAGCGCAAAACTGGGCTCAAAGATACTGTACTGTAGAGGAATGGGTCCTAAATTGTCATACATTGATCGCCAATTGTATTGTAACGAGATATATGGCAAATACAGACACTCCTCACACCCACTCCCCTCACATACTGTATATATGGCTTGATTTGGCAAATATTTGAATACCATTCAAGAATATGCATAAATATAACATCATTTCATTGCTATATTATTAACACTTTTTGTTATTTACAAATCATAATTGTTTGTTATCGTAGAGTATATTAAATGCAAAATACATATTGATTTGCAAATAATTAGTTTTATTTGCGATTTCATACAATTTCAGCATTTTTCTGATGAGTTGTATATTTAGCGAACGACTAATTGTTAATCAAAGCAAAAACTCTTGAAAATATTAAACAAGTGTTTGTATCACTTAAAGCAACAAAAAACTTATGATTATCCAAAAAAAATGATCATTTTTTAAGTTGTAATCAATAATTGAATGATAAGAATATACTCTCGAAAAGAAATTAATATTTTTGTCGACAATAATTATAAATTTGGTTATTTTCGACAAAAACATAGAAATTTGTGTTCAATTCAATGCTGTATTTGATTAGAAATATTGATCCGTAAATGTATTTCATTTTCTATTCACTCCGTTATTATTAGCGCCGCTTTTGTCGATATATTTCTAATGAAAAAACACTAATTTTGATAGTGTTTTAGATTTTAAATGCATTGATCACAAGCCTATGGTTGTGTTTGCGGTGATTATGGGATTTGCATCTGATTAGGACATGTGGCTAAAACGCTGTGCAAGTGTTTGCACACAATATATGGTAAACAATAAACTGATTTGAGTGTTGGATGTGTTGCCCATTATTGATGATAACTATGTATAGCAGGGAAGCGATGACTCATATTCTATATATAAATGCCTTGACATGAAGTCTGAGGCAAACACTGGCACTCTCTCTGTATTGTAATGTATTGTGCGTTGAATTCCATGGCATGAATGCTATATCGACTCAACCAGACATTCACTGCCCTATTGTGTCGATCCCTTCCCCGAAAGTAGACTCTCTTATCGGCTTTAAATGCAATCAATTGATTGCAAACAAAACATCTATACATATCGTGCATATCATATATTTTAGCTAAAGATGCTGTTCTTATAATCTGTATAAATATATTTGAGTTTTTAGTGTTTTTCCAAAATAATGAAACATTTTAAAGAATATTCAGTAATGAAATGCATTTGAATACAGCGTATAGAATAAACTCTTGAAGACATGCAGTGATTGGTTGCGCCCAACGATGTTTTCATTGATGGATAACTGGCCAGTGATGGACGCGATGGAAGCGCTGGATGTGATGGAAGCGATAGAATTGGTGGAAAGAGATCAATTGGCACAAGTGATTGTGAATCGAGTCGATAATGTGCTTATAATCGACAGCAGATCCTTTCTGGAGTACAACACATCCCACATCTCATATGCAGTGAACGTGAATTGCTCTAAGATTGTCAAACGAAGACTTCAACAAAACAAAGTATGTCTCGCGTTGTCTTGTCTTTGCATATATGGTATCATTGATTGCATTAATTGATTCAATTGGTCTCTTGATTGCAGATAACTGTGAACGAACTGCTGGTGCACTCGTGTCAGTGCCAGATAGACAGTAGTCATGCGGTGATAGTCTATGACCAGCAGTCGACAGATTTGTCGATACTTTCGACCGACTGTTTTGTGTCAATCCTATTATCAAAGCTGAGTTCAGTGTTTAAAAGCGTTGGTCTATTGAGGGGCGGATTTTTGGACTTCCAGTCGGCGTATCCGTCACTTATTGAGAACAAAGCGGCCAAAGGGGTCAATACGTTGACCTCACTGTCGCAGCCCTGTATGCCTATCAGCAATCACGGACCCACTCGTATACTACCGTTCCTTTACTTGGGCTCACAACAGGACGCCCTCAACAAAGATACCCTTCGAGTAAACAATCTTAAGCACTAATCAGTTTTTTACCCAACACTTGACCTCTCCTTAACATCTTCTCATCTTCTAATTCAATGTGTTTTAATCCACGAAATAATTGCTTGCATTTATAGGACCACAACATTCAATACGAGCTGAACGTCAGTACCTCCTGTCCAAAGCCAGAGTTCATCCCAGACTCGCATTTTTTGCGAATCGCAGTCAATGATAATTATAACGAAAATTTGTTGGAGTATTTTCCAAAAGCTTTCAGTTTTCTGGGTTTGTGTTATGTTTGCTTTGGTGTCCTTCGACTCCAATACTTAACTATGTTTTGATGTTTTTTGCAGATAAAGTGCGAGAATCGGGCGGCTGTGCAATAGTTCATTGTTTGGCTGGCATTTCACGTTCGGCTACCGTTGCCATCAGTTATGTTATGAGACACTTATGTATGTCATCAGATGACGCCTACAGGTATACCATTATAACCTGTAATTACTTTTTCGCTCTTCACTGCAATAATTTTGTTTCTCCACTGTTTGCAAACGCATTGAATGCGATGTTCAATGTTTAGGTACGTCAAGTCAAAGAGAGCCACTATTTCTCCAAATTTCAATTTCTTGGGACAACTCCTCGAATACGAGAAGCAATTAATTAGAGAACATGTTTTGAACAACTTTTCGGACGACTGTTCGCGAGTCTCGCACTCAGCGCCGATCTGTTCCTCGCAGAACAACCCGTTCGCGTCGTTCGCCTCATCCGTTCCGAGGCCTCGCAAATTGAATTTTCCCAAACGGAGTGCTCCAAGACTTGATCCCTTCACTCCCACCCCTCCCGACGAGAATATCTCCTCAAATGGCGATCAATCGCCGACCACTTCACTCAAAATGGTTCGCATTTTCTAAGCGCTGGGAATTGCAAACACTTACAAACAAATACAACTTATTGTCTAATAATGACTTAATTGTTTTGTCAAAACATATCGAGAATACAAAAATATTTATAATTCAAAACTCAGACTTAACTTAAAAAAATGAAGATATAATTGTAATTCAGAACATCTGTACATAACTTATATTTGTTTACGACTCGACTCTCGTGTACAAAAATATCATATTTGCGATAAGTTTTCCTATGATTGTAACCATACCTCTCTCTCTCTCTCTCTCTCTCTCTCTCCCACTTTCTCAACATCTGGTCGACCACAAGAGCAGCGGAGGACAGACCTACAGAACTTATCGCTTGTCCTTTGGCTGCCCATTGAGTCCTTTCTCCTTATATTAATTCATATCAATCTGTTTATAAGACATTGCATTACAAGACATTTGTTTCGATTCATTAAGAGTACAATCGCTGCGAAAAACTTTTTGCAATTTTTGTTTTGTGCTGAAAAGCCATTAAATGTACAAAAGATATCATTAATGGGAAATCATTCCTTCTTCTGCTTAAAAGAATAGTTGTATTCATTGCTTGTATTATGAAATGATTTTTCAAATTATTAGTTAAAACGTTTGGTTCAATATATTTGTTTAGAGTTTAGTAGTAATTGTCTGTATATTTATGCATAAATTAATTTAATGTTACCATGAAATCAAATTGTAAATTTATATTACAGTAAATATTTAATTAAAAATTTCGTTTTAAGTAAATAATAATAAATAAATAAATATAATAAATATTGTGAAGTAAATGATCGCTAAAATTAACGCCAAAAAACCTGTTGTGAGAGGAGAGACATGAAAGTTATCAAAGTTTTGATTTCGCGGCAAAACATGTCTATAACGATAATAATGTGGTGAATGTCTCGCAAATCTAATTATATACACATTTGAATGCAACACATGAATGGCATAAAGGGTTTACATTGAAGTTTGCGTTCAAATAAATATTACTTATAAAGCAAATCAAATCAACGATTTTTTTTCAAAATAAAAAGTTTATTAATGGCAACAAGTTTTTTGCGCCTTTAAGTCAATGACAAGCTATTGAATGCTTACATAAAATATATAAAAATAAGTCCAATAATAATAATATCTATCAAATAAAAACTTATATAAAAATATAAAATATTAATTGTATTGTATATTTATATTGAGATCGTATGGATTAAGCAATAAATATATATAAATGTATGGATGTATTGATGGGTATATAGTGTACAATGAGGTGTATTTCTAATGTAGTGTTCATGTAGTTTGAGGCCAACAAATATATCTTGTTTTGTATGAAAGGCTGCATTAAAAACAGGTATCGAAAGGCAGAGGCAGTGAATGACATATACCTATACATTACACGAGCAATGAGAGGGTCTATTGAAGGCATGTGTGGACCAACTCATTGAGCACTGGGTTTGGTGTTAGGCATCGATAGGACCGGTGGTGTGACGGCGAGGACAGGGCTGGAGGGCAGCCATGTTTGCAGACCCAATACACCGACCAAATGGTGCTGACATTATTTGGGCGCGATTTGCAGCTAAAGATCTGAGATCTATTGGGACTGAGTCTTGCATTGTATCAACACTTCAAGAGAGGGATAGCGAGAGGAGAGAGAGAGAGAGAGAGAGAGAGCTGGAAAGCTCGACCCAGGAATACGTCAGACATTTGGTCCAATGGGAGACAACGGCTGTCTTGGGCTGACATTGAAGTGAATGTTTGGCTCTATTTATGATAATCTCTTGAATGTACACAATATATAGTCTCTAAGATTTGGCGCTCTTCTTGGTCTGAGACCAGAGATTGTCTGATTGTTCACCGGTTTGAGCAAAACTTTGTCCGAAACTTCTTTTGCTGCCATCGTTGAGATGATGGACTGGTTTCCAATCGAAACGTCCGGTGAATGGCTTTTCATTGTAGAAATCAAAGTTCCATCGGTTCCGGTCTGAGAAGCGCTTACAGTCCGTCTCCTCGTAAGCCATCTTTCGGTTCTCCTCGCGATCTGACGGTCCGAACAGCGATCGCGACACTCGAGGACGAGATGCCAACTGATGGTGACTCACGTGATGGCTGCGGATGTATTGGCTTTGGTTACTGTCTTGCGATTCTTGTCGCTGTTGTTGATCCCAATGATCGACAGGCGCTGATCGGCCACTCATTGACCACACATTTGCTGCAATATCTCCGACACTCATATCGGACACTTTTCTTCCCATTCAATGCAAAGCATAAACTATTTCAACATATTATCATTAAAATGATGGTAACTTTGATGACAATTGAATAACTTTTGCACAAATAGGTTGACAACTGAGTGAGTGCTGAAACTTTTGGCGAAACACAACTCAAGAGCTTAGCGATGACTCATATTCTATATATAAATGCCTTGACATGAAGTCTGAGGCAAACACTGGCACTCTCTCTGTATTGTAATGTATTGTGCGTTGAATTCCATGGCATGAATGCTATATCGACTCAACCATACATTCACTGCCCTATTGTGTCGATCCCTTCCCCGAAAGTAGACTCTCTTATCGGCTTTAAATGCAATCAATTGATTGCAAACAAAACATATATACATATCGTGCATATCATATATTTTAGCTAAAGATGCTGTTCTTATAATCTGTATAAATATATTTGAGTTTTTAGTGTTTTTCAAAATAATGAAACATTTTAAAGAATATTCAGTAACGAAATGCATTTGAATACAGCGTATAGAATAAACTCTTGAAGACATGCAGTGAAGGGTTGCGCCCAACGATGTTTTCATTGATGGATAACTGGCCAGTGATGGACTCGATGGAAGCGCTGGATGTGATGGAAGCGATAGAATTGGTGGAAAGAGATCAATTGGCACAAGTGATTGTGAATCGAGTCGATAATGTGCTGATAATCGACAGCAGATCCTTTCTGGAGTACAACACATCCCACATCTCATATGCAGTGAACGTGAATTGCTCTAAGATTGTCAAACGAAGACTTCAACAAAACAAAGTATGTCTCGCGTTGTCTTGTC